GAGGCTGAGGTGGGAGGATCGCTTGAGCCCAGGAGTTCAAGGCTGCGCTGAGCTATGATGGGGCCAGTGCACTCCAGCCTGGGCAACAGAGTGAGATCCTGTCTCTAATAAATAAATAGATAAGTAGGTAGTTATGTCAGGGACACATTTTGATCCAAACTAAAACTGAATCTGTGGTAAGGGTAAGAGTTGGATTTAATTAGTCTAATTTCATTTTTCTTTAGGAGGTTTTAAAGTGTCATCATTCCACAGAGAATGTTGTCTTTTGAGTATCATATTTGGCATATATAAAAGATGTGTTATAAACTACAATAATATGAAGAACACCTGTGAACCACTACCCAATTCAACCTCAAAAAACTACTTAAATGTCATTAGTGTGAGAATGAATAAATAGCGGTAATTGTGTATTCACATAGTACATCAGCGAGATGAAGAAACTTCAGCTCCATGTAATACCATGAATCAATCTTAGAAGCATAATGTTGATTTTTTTAAAGAAAGGAGGATCTGGAAGTCTACGGAGACTATGATATCATTTTTATAAAACTCACAAACAAGAGAATATTCATTTTTAAGGAAGTCAAATCCTTTGGTAACTTCAATACTGCACACAACAAGGGGTGTGCTCCACTGATGATTTCAGGTATAAACATATTTGTTTGGCTCCTTCCTCAGAGAAGTCAAGTTCAAAATGTGCATGTGTCCTGGCCAAAACCACTTTGGCAGAAGGAAAAGTAGAACATTCCTATAAATGTTAACTCACATTTATTTTCTTCCATGTTATCAGCAATATTTTGTGACAAGCAGTTCAAGAGGGCTTACCAAATGCCTGCGACTCAACTGCCTCCTCAAATCCTATCAAGATAATAGAAGAATATAAAAATGAAAATAAACCAGTACAGCGCTCAAAGCTAGAAAGACCACTGGCCACCCAAAACAGAGAGGACTGTCTAGACAAAGCAGAGCAGATGACACCCTCAGTTCCGCGGGGAGTCTGGGAATCAGTCCAGGTGTACCCGTCAAGGTTCTCAGGTCGTAAGCGACAGAGGCAGACTTGGGCTCACTGTGTTGGAAGCGGATTTACTGAAAGCGTACGGGGTGGATCATAGGGAGGTCGGAGACCAGGGCTTGGGAGAGAAGAGGAACCAAATCACCTGCAGATCTGGGAAGCGAGAACTGCTTGTCACTCTTGTCAGAGCCTGGTACCGTGTGAATAAGCTTCAACTCCTTTTCCCCTCCCTGCCCGAATGTAGTCAATGTGTCAAGTTCCAGAACAAGAAAGGAAGTTGGTTAGCCTAGTGTGGGGCAAGAAGGCAAAAGCCACGTGACTGAAATCCCACCAAACTGCATGCGTTAGGGAGAAGTATGATAATATCCCAAATCGTGGTGCTGTTACCGTGAAATGGGAATTGATACTGGATGCCCAAAGAAACACAGATCATTACAACTGGGGCTTTAAAAGTAATTGATACAACAAAAAATTAAAAATCAAACTCCCATATGATCCAGCAATTCTACTTCTGGGCACACACCTGAAAGAATTGAAAGCAGGGTCTTGAAGAGATATTTGCACACATGTTCACGGCAGCTATTCACAAACAGCAAGAGGCAAAAGCAAGCCAAGGGGCCATCCACGGGTGAATAAGCAAAATGTGGTTCTATACACACAACGGACTATTATCCAGCCTTACAAAGGAAGGAAATTCTGACATATGCTATCACGTGGACGAAACTGGAGGGCGTTATGTTAAGAAAGACACAAAAGGACAAATATTATATGATCCCACCTATCTGAGGTATCTAGAGTAGTTAAACCTGTAGAAACAGAAAGCAGAATGGTGGCTGCCAAGGACCGGGGGAGGGGAGAATGGGGCGTTAGTGTTTAACGGCAACAGAGTGTCAGATGTGCGAGATGAAAAAGTTCTGGAGATCTGTGTCACAGCAATGGGAATATACTTAACATCACTGAACTGTGCATTTTTAAATGGTAAGGTGGTAAATTTTACCTTATGTGATTTTTACCAAAATAAAAAAAGAATACAATAAATAAGCATAGAACCCAAGACTAATCTTAAAGTAAGTGTTAACAGGGGCTTGGAGACCCCAAGTTATTAATATAAGCTTCAATTTCCTCAGGAAAAAATTGGTATAATTTTAACGCCTACTTCATAAGGTAGTTTTAAAAATTAAATGAGGTAATTCGTGTCTAGTTTTTAGCACAATGCCTAACACGTAACAAGGACTTCACAAATGTACGTATTTGGCAAATATTGACACATGGCAAAGAACAAGAGGTGATGGCTCACA